GGACCTCAAGAAGAGAGTGGACTCCCCAAGAAAAGGCTATCGCATTGGAGGGGGTTCCGCCCAAGGACTGTACAGGCCAAGTGCGGGCACAGCCTGTGAGACCATGGAGAATGTCATGTCATGGAGAATGTCAACATGTAGTCAACCACACAATAAGCCTGGGCTTATCAGTTAATCTTGTCAACTACACGCACCCCCGCCCTTGCTACTTCTGTATCAGAGGCAGCAAGTAGGGAGAGCAAGGGCCCCACAAGCACCAGATCCTTGCCTGTCCCCCTCCCAGCCCCATGCTGCTGCCTCTTAGAGGCAGCAGCATGGAGGATGAGGGGGGGCAGGTGGGAGCCAATACACATGGGGAGCTAACTTTCAAGCAGGCTCCCTGTGCATGTTGGCTCTGAGGATTGCCTGTCCCCCCACTGCCTCCCACAGAGGAAGTAGGGGGAGAAGCAGGCAGGACCTAGTGCTGATGGAGGGGGGCAGCTTAAAAGCCGGTTCCCCCAGTGTCACGTTATTGGATTTTAAAGATCATTGCTGCACCCATGGGGGCGGGTCTTTGTCCCAAACGTCTGTACAAAGGGGGCCATGTGAGGTGTCAAATAAAAGCGTGTGTTGTACTGATTCTGTATATGCTATTCATGTACTTGTATGATATCTGTATGTGGAGTTATAAATATGTACTCTGTGCTTATGCTGGAAGATTCTCTGAGACAGAGCAATGGGCAAAGAATGTTCAGCCAGGGGCAATGGATCTCTAGGTGCCAATACACACCTGAGGAAATCTGGATACCTGCAAACCAGCCAGTATCTGATGACCTCTGACATGGGACACAGGGATAGGTCACTGGGCCATGTGACCTGCTCTGGCCAGGAAGATGCCAGCAGAGATATAAAAATGCCACGAGGCAGACTCCATCTGGCCTGCAGTTCTGCTCAGCGTGATCTTGTGGGTAAGATCCAGAATGTAAATTGACCGGGGATTTGTGGCTGGTTCTTTGGGACCAGAAAGACCCGTTTGGGGTAGGTGAGATTGGGTTCTATAATCCCTCACTTGTGTGTTAGGCCTGGGGCTGATTGCGGCACAGAGAGAGCTGAGGTATCGGAGGGGTTTTCTTCGGTGTGACTGGTATGTGACCAGTTTGGGAAGGTCTCCAGTCAGGGGCTGTAAGGAGCCCTGAGTTTGAGCAATTCGCCCTGAGCAGATGCCCTCAGCTGTGCCCAGACCCGGCCTGGCCCGTCACACCCATCACCAGCTCTTGCGGTGCACGGGGAGGCAGCCATGAAGCGGCCTCTGTTCGTAGCAGCCTCGCCTCCACCCGA